GAAGTGGGAGGAAATCCCTCCCTCGAGAAAACGAAGATTTGCTCACGGACCCAGGATTTTCCCTCCCTCCCGAGGCTTATCGTTAGTCCTAAAACTTCATACTAGGGGAATAAGCTATCCGTGGTTCCGTGGTTATAAACTTGCTGAGCGCTCTACGCATGCCCCCTAACTTGACCCTAGACCCTTCATTTTTACGTTAAGCAAGCAAAACTAGAGGCTGAGGTGTTCTTTGATCATTTCAGGAGTGCGCCGTGCATTTCACATTCATTCAAATCGCAACAGCATTTGAATCCGCATTCAGCTCACAGGTTACGCAGAAGAATCGCGTCATAAAAATCGCATCGTAGTCATTTTGGAACCGGTAATCCTGCTTTCTTTCAGGGAGGAATCTATGTGGTGGAAAACCGGCTTGCTTTTGCATGAGGGAGCTAAGTGAGTATGAAGATAAAGACGTTTGCCATGGTTGAATGTCTTGGGTCTTCTGCGCTGAGATGCCTCCTCCCAACTACGCTCGAGTCCTTTTCCACTCTCGCATTAGTCTGGCACCTCGCGATCGCTTCTAAAAGATCATAGGCTCAGCCTCGAAAGTGTTTAGGCGACGGATGTTAAGGCAGGTTAGTTTCTCCATTGGCTCGCAATGGTTTGGCGGCATAACTCATGAATTTGCTCACTATTGCGCTTTTACTCCTCAGCTCTCTGAGCTTTATGAAGCAGTCTTCTAATTCGCTTTTTTTCCGCCTCGATTCATATCATGAATACCGCTTTCAATGAAGAGAACTATTGATATGAAGAGAATTATAGCTATTGAACTAGTGTGCTATATTTGCGCCCTGTCAAGGTGATTTTCTGAATTGGATCCTCTGTTAATGAAAATTTCTGCTACATTTATTTTTAATTTGCTCCTTTATTCGCTACGCTACAACTAAACAAAGCCGCATTCCTACCATCTTACTAGGTCATCGACCAGCACGAGCGGAAACCCCTATCTGTGAAGTCTTCGCCCACGGCGATCGATGACCCGAAAAGGCGGTTGAAACCCGCGCTATAACAGTCATACCCTTATTGGTTTAAGAAATCGTCTGCTCTACTGTATGTCGCTTCGCGTCGTCATCCTTTTATTTGCTAGGAGGCATTCGTTTTACATGCTTTCCAATAGCTAAAAATCGTAATATAAGTTCCGATGTTCTAGATGCCTGTGAATCGGATTTTCGGTAAAAGGGCGGTCTTCCGATATTTTGCTGGAGCAGGAGTCTTCTACTGTGTCGCCCACACAATAGCTCGTCATGTGGGTGAACTGGTGATTTGCTCCGGGCCTTCAATGCATCCCACTATTCATGATGGAGATCTCGTACTCGCAGAAAGACTTAGTAAGTTGTTTGCGTTTTCTGCAGTCATTGAGCCTCTTGCTTTTCTTTTCATTGCCTTTTTTTAGACAAAATGTTGAAGGTTTCGCATTTACTTGTAGATTTAATATAATAGTTGGCAGGGTGCATCACACGAAATGTCTTCCGTTCTCCGCGTTGAGCATGGTGTAAGGTTAAATTCTTTCCTTGAGTTGCCGAATATTTTCTGCAGGAACTGAGCACTGCGCGAAGTTCGTGGGCGGATCAAGGATTAACCACCCTGTGTAAACCTAGTGTCAGAATGAAAAATGCTTGATTTCAATATATGGCGAGTTGACAATTCTCCTCGATCGCGCGTGGTTGTTATCATTTTATCAGCACGTGCTAGTGCTGATCAGCTATGAGAAATTATCACGAAAGCAGTGTGGGCGCCCTGGTAGCAAAACCTGTAGCGCACTTGTCCGGTGAGCAAGGGGTGGGGGTTGGAATCTCGCCTGAAAAAGTCGTTAATTACCCGCATCCTTCTGAAACTCTATTTAACATCATGAATAGCAACCTTTGCTCCTTTTGTTCTGTTGGCCTAAGTTTATCCCCCTAAAAAAGTTCAGATCTATTTTCAGAAGGAAATCGCCGAAATCCGAAGCAAGTTGCCTATTGTATTTAGTTTCTTAGATTTCAGAAGGGTGGCGAAGCCACGTGGCTTAAACGTGCACGATTACGAAAAAAAATAGCAACCGTGTTATTTATGTTCATAATCACTGCTCCTGCATGCTGTCAATTTGGATTATGTTGACATAAGTTCAACTTTTAAAAATTGGTAGAACGACCCCTCTTGTGTAGAATCCCTAGCAATTTAGTTTGAGCGCACTGCAGCGATTATTATAAAACTGCTTTCTTTGGAAGCTGTTTGCAAGTAAATATTTTATTGTGTTTGCGTTTCAGGTGTAAATAATGGAAATAATAATACATGCGTCGGTGATATCGTTGGATGTTTGAGCCCACACGAGCCGGAACAGCTGTTATGTAAACGAGTGGTCGCGAAGGTAATAGATTTGAGTAGTTGTTTTCTGTTTTGTGTATATTAGTTGCTCAGGAGCCTTTTTGACTATTGTGTTCGTTGATTGTCCCTTACCGGCTCGCGTTATTTTTATTAAGTGTTTGCTTTGATAATTGCATTATTCTCTTGGGTCTTTTATTCTGAATCGCTTTACCAAACGTTTTGCACGACAGATCAATTGTGAGTAAGCATGCAAAAGAATCTAGCCGTGGAGACAAAAGTTGTGGTTATACAGCTTCTGTTCATCAACGCGTAATCACAAAACAACTTGCTTCTTTCTTTCGCGATCGTCGTCTGCTTTCGATTAAAAGGCGACTGTGATGGCAATCGGAGAAGTCATTCAACCGCACACGCAGCTGTTTTACGTGACTCAAAAAGCCTAACATCTTGCGGCAGGTTTCCCTGTGGACCGTGAAGATATTGAAACCCACTCTGTCGTTGTCTTCGTCTTGCGTACAATAGTGGTAGGATCTATCGAGTTGGAGCATAATATTGTATCGCTGGCAATCGGCAATAGCGTTAGAGCAAAATCCAAATGCAAAGCCAAGCATAAAATTGATCAGCAAAAAGGCAAATAAGGTATTGTAGAGCGGAAGAAGTACTTTCAAATGATATATGTGATTTCCTGAGTAATACTTGTATTCACCGAATTTGTAGCTCGAAATAAAAACGCTACGATATTATGCTCCAACCCAATATGTTAGCCGCACAATGTAATTGGTAGGGGCCGCTTTATTACTGAATTAAGCGTTTACTGGGTTCTTATAAGAACCTTGAGGTCTCATTCGTAGTTTTTCCATCACTTGGAATTCGCTTGCAGTTCGCCTATCAGCAGGATAGGTACCAATCGGTCACTCAACTTGTAAGCTCTGATCTGCCATACTTGCGAACTGAACCTTTTGCACTTTTTCGCAATTCGTAGTTCAAGTGTGGAGTAGATACGTATATAACTCCTGCGATCGCCTGGCCCGATCCGTAACTGCTCCACAACCGGACCGCAAACGATGTACAAGGTAGTTGCAAAGTGTGACTGCAAGACCGTACTGAGGTAGAGGTGATGTGATGAAATGTGTCGCCAATTAGCACGCCCGCGTTCAAGGGTCAGATCCGGGATCGAATTTGGCTCAGGCTAACGACTCCTTCCATCTTTCACTCGACCGTTCTCTCTAGCTGCGAGTAATTGGTATCAGGGTGCTATGGGGATAGAATCACGGACTTGTACATCTTACCTTCTTAAGCTCTTGCATAGGTGAAATCGCATTTAGATCCCACTGCGACTCTGCAGGAAAAAATAATGTATGGCGTGTGCTGGGTTGATCAATCACATATATGAATATACTTCAATTTCAGAATTCATATCGGGACTCGTTCTTTTTCTAACGATGGAACTTTCATCTTCTTTCATTTCTTGAATCCTAATAGGTAATGATTTAGGAGTCCGATCCCGTTAACTCCGACTTGCTACCGAGTGCACGTGTTCCACGTGGACATATCTTTCTGCAAGGTGATAACCCTATGGCTTCTACAGATTCGCGGCATTTTGGACCTGTTCCACTTGGACTAGTTCAAATTCG